GGCGGTCCCTCAGCCTGGCTTGCGCCCTTGCAGCCCAGAGCCCTCATGGAGGCATGAGGCTCCTGCCACAACAGCTGTACTCGCCAGCTGTGAGCCTGGCTTCTGGCTGAGTGGCGCTCCCCCATGGGGGCGCACTGACCACCAGGGGGCAGCTCCACAGGTGGTCAGTGTGCATCATAGCCACTGGTAGTTCCGCTGTTCAGTTGATTGGCATATTACCCTTTTATTATATAGGACTGGAGCCCAGAGTCAATCATTCGTTCAGTGGATAGTCCTTGAGTACCCATTGAGAGCTGGGTGGTGCTGGAGACACAGCAGGGACCAAGACAGCCCGGCTCTGCCCTCCTGGGGATCCCAGTACAGTGCGGGAGACAAATTAGTCCCAGACAGTGGTGACTCAGATGGGCTGGGATGGGGGACCAGTGGGGGCACCTGACCTGGCCTGGGGATCAGGGAGGGCTTCCTGGAGAAGAGAGCAACAGAGCTCATGTGTGAAAGATGGGATACTGAGAGAGGCCGGTAGGCGTGGGAGAAAGGACAGAGAATGCAAGGGCAGGGGGCGGCAGGGCCTGGTAGAGCAGGGCAAGAAAGCCAGGCTTTCGCTGAGGGCGCTGGGGAGCCACAGGACGGTTTTGAGCTGGGGAGGGCAGGATCAGGTTTGTGCTTAGAAAGACCCCGTTAGCTGCTGTTCGGGTGGGAGAGGGGAGACTGGAAGTGGAGGGTGGGGTTGGGGAGGAGAGGCATGACTGACGATGGGAAATGAAGCTCAAACACCCAGCAAGGTGCTGGGGGACAGCCGGGCAGGGGGGTGACGTGGCCTCACCCGGGAGACGAAGTCCTGCTCCAGCTTCTCCATCAGGAGGTCTGCCGGCTTCTGCTCGTAAGCCTTGTAGGTCTCCAGGTACCGCCCGGCCTCCTCGGGGCTGGGGTGAGAGGACATGGTGTCAGCCAGGGTGAGGAGGGGTCATGTTTTAGATTCATTTCATTCTGGCAGTAATTGCTGATGCTAAAAATTTCAAACTCTAATCTACAGGAAAATGAACAGCCCTAGCCAGTTTGGTTCAGTGGATAGAGCGTCGGCCTGCGGACTGAAGGGTCCCAGGTTCAATTCTGGTCAAGGGCACATGCCCGGGTTGAGGGCTCCATCACCAGTAAGGGGGCGAGCAGGAGGCAGCCAATCAATGATTCTCATCACTGATGTTTCTATCGCTCTCTCCCTCCCCCTTCCTCTCTGAAATCAATAAAAATATATTTTTAAAAAAAGAAAAATGGCCCTAACCGGTTTGGCTCAGTGCATAGAGCATCTGCTTGCGGACTGAAGGGTCCCAGGTTCGATTCCGGTCAAGGGCATGTACCTTGGTTGCGGGCACATCCCCAGTGGGGAGTGTGCATGAGGCAGCTGATCGATGTTTCTCATCGATGTTTCTAACTCTCTATCCCTCTCCCTTCCTCTCTGTAAAATATCAATAAAAAATATTTTTTTTAAAAGAAAAATGAACATTCTCAGCCTGCTCTAAATGCCCCCTGGGTATTTTACACATTTTTTCTGGCTAAAGACCAGAGCTTGGGGACCCTGACCAGTGGGTTCAGGGCTCACTTCCCACATGAGTGGCCCTGAGCCAGTGATTTTAACCTCTCTGGGCCTCAGTTTCCTCATCTGTCAAGTGGGCTGGTGGCAGAACTGTGACAGTTCAGTGAGTCACCGCTCTGTCAGGGCCTGGCATGGAAGCCTGTTCAAGAACTGTCAGCTATTCTGGAAGGGACGCCAGCGCCCGGACCCTTTGCTGCGGGTTTGAGAGAGCAGAACCAGAACTACTGTTTATTTTCCCAACCACAGGAAGACAACCTCATGAGCATTCAGCTTCCCACCACCAAGAAAAGCAGCTTCTGATAGGGTTCCTATACAGCCCACCTTCTCCTTGGCTGGGTAGCTAGTTGGTTAGAATATCTTCCTGATATGCCAAGGTTGTGGGTTCGATCCCCAATCAGGGCACATATAAGAAGTAACCAATGCATGCATAAACAAGTGAAACAACAAAGCAATGTTTCTTTCTCTCTCCTCCCCTTCCTCTCTCTAAAATCAATCAATCAATCAATCAATACATTAAAAAAAATAAAGCCCACCTTCAAAAGAAAAGCTCAGTCCTAACTGGTTTGGCTCAGTGGATAGAGTGTCGGCCTGCGGACTCAAGGGTCCCAGGTTTGATTCTGGTCAAGGGCATGTACATTGGTTGCGGGCACATCCACAGTGGGAGGTGTGCAGGAGGCAGCTGATAGATGTTTCTAACTATCCCTCTTCCTTCCTCTCTGTAAAAAAAATCAATAAAATATATATTTAAAAAAAAGGAAAAGCTCAGGGTGCTGACTGCTGAATCCTTTATAGCAATAAACATGATTTAATAATCACCATTAATTTTGACATTAGGCCCAGTTTTTTAAAAAAATATATTTTATTGATTTTTTACAGAGAGGAAGGGATAGGGATAGAGTTAGAAACATCGATGAGAGAGAAACATTGATCAGTTGCCTCCTGCACACCCCCTACTGGGGATATGCCCGCAATCAAGGTACATGCCCTTGACCAGAATTGAACCTGGGACCCTTCAGTCCGCAATGCTCTATCCACTGAGACAAACCAGTCAGGGCAGGCCCAGTTTTTTTGACATGTAATTAACTGTTTCAAACAGTGGAAACAGCTAAATCATAAAAAGGGTCTATATGTGCTGGCCTTTTTCCTCTGGAAATTGAGACTAATGAACTGAGTCGAAGTAAATAAAGTATTTGTCTTGCATTTTCTTAGCCTTCAAAATCCAGCTAGTAAAAAATGTTTATTGATTAAATGTCGATTGTATTTTTTTATTACATTCTTGAAAGAAACGTTCATTTTTCTAATTCAATTGTTTTCCATAAAATGGGCTTTGCAGCTTTTCTCTCTATGCAGCAGGTATTATTATTATTATTGTAATGACATTTGTTCAGGACACACAGGTTAGCACACTGGATCCAGTTCTATAACTTGCTTTCATTTTTGCATTCTACAGTATAACCAGGACATCTTTCCACGTTAAGAGAGAGAGCTCAGCCTCATTTATTAAATGGCTGCAAAATATCCCGTGTGGGGCCTGTATGCCAGTCACTGGCCTAAGCCCATTATGTTCAGAAGCTTCTGGAATGCCCTGAGAGATCCGTGGGGGCTGAGCCCCTTGCCCTGGTTACACGGCCGGCGAGGAGGAGACGGCTCCCTCAGTGGGCGGTCTCACCCGCCAGCTCTACACTCTGCCACTTCCCACACAACAGAGCGATTTTTATTCTCGCTTTTGCTTTAATATACAACTAATACATAAATACATTTTTCCAAATACTCCAACAGTATAGAGGTACATACCCGGAGGGAAGGCACAGCGTCACAAATATCCTTTGGCCTAAAAAACCCATTCCCGGGATTCAGGACAGAAGTAGGAGTGTTGGTGGTAACGGCAAAAGACAGAGACCACCCCAGTGTCTACCAATAGGGGTTGACCTGTTCCATCTACACAATGGGATAGTTTAACAGCTGGAAAAGAATGTGGATCCAGACCATGAGATATTATTCAGTGATTAAAAACAAGTTACCGCCCTAACCGGTTGCTCAGTGGTTAGAGTGTCAACCTGCAGACTGAAGGATCCCGGGGTTCAATTCCAGTCAAAGGCACGTACCTCGGCTGCAGGCTTGGTCCCTGGCACCAGTCAGGGAGTGTGCAGGAGGCAACCAATCGATGTGTCTCTCTCACACTGATGCTTCTCTCTCTCTCTGTTTCTCCCCCTCCCTTCCATTCTCTCCAAAAAATAAATGGAAAGAATATCCTCAGGTGAGGATTAACAACAACAACAAAAAAAGTGAGCTACCAAGACATGAAAAGACATGGAGGAACCGTCAGAGCTCAGTGGAAGGAGCCAATCCGAAGAGGCTGTGAGATAGTATACAATCGAGGTGGTGTCTGCCCTGGGTTCCTGGCACAGGGCTGCCGAGACCCTGTGAGTTCTTAAGTGGTAAGAGCCCCGAGCATCTTCTGTTCTAACGAGGTGACTCCCGGTGGGCTCCTGGGTGGGGCTGGTCACCGGAAAGTAAGTCCAAGCCGTGATCAGGAACCTGGAAGTTTCTGCCCCAGCCCAACCCCATCCTCCGGGGACGGAGAGGGGCTGGAAGGGAGTTAATCATTGATGGTGCCGACGTGCGGGAGCTTCCTACTCTCTCAGAAGCACGGGGTTCAGAGAGCATCCGGGCTGGTCAGCACATCCACCCCAGCGGCGTGACTCACTCCCTCTCCACGGGGACAGACAGTCTTGCACTTGGGATCCTCCCAGACCTCGCCCTCAGTCTCTCCTCACCTGGCTGTTCATCTCTCTCCTTTAATGACTGGTAAACAGGCTGGCTGGTGTCTCAGCTGGTTGGAGCGGCCTGTGCACCAAAAGGCTGCAGGCTCCATTCCTGCTCAGGCCTTGGTTTCGGCCCGATCCCCAGTCGGGGTGCGTTTGGGAGGCAGCTGATCAATGTTTCTCTCCCCACCCCCACTCCCCACTCTCTAAAATCAATTAAAAAACACATCTGCGGATAAGGACTAAATTAAAAAATAAATAAACTGGGAAACCTAAGTCAGTGTTCCGCTGAGTTGGATGAGCCACTCCAGCAAAGTGTCAAACCTGAGGGGTCGTGGGGACCTCCCTCTGTAGCCGCTTGGTCAGAAGCTCAGGTGACGGCAGCCGGCGCCTGGAGTGTGTGTGGGATCTGCCTGTCTCCAGATAGATGGCGACAGGATTGAGTTAAATTGTAGGAAACCGCCCTAGCCGGTTTGGCTCAGTGGATAGAGCGTCGGCCTGCGGACTGAAGGGTGCCAGGTTCGATTCCGGTCAAGGGCATGTACCCTGGTTGCAGGCACATCCCCAGTAGGGGGCGTGCAGGAGGCAGCCGATCGATGTTTCTCTCTATCTCTCTCCCTTTCTCTCTGTAAAAAATCAATAAAATATATTTTTTTAAAAAATTGTAGGAAACCAAGCCGGTATCGCAGAGGACTGCTTGGTGTGGGGAAAACCCCCGCACATTTAGTGGCCGGAAGTGGAGTACTTTCTGAGTAGTGACGGAGACACAGGATAAAGACCCGCCCTGAGGAAGAACTGGGGCTCTCCAGGCACAAGAGGGCCCTGGGTTTCTCCCTTTCAGCTGTATACGCTATGGTTCCAGTAGGACATCTGGAAAAGGCAAACTGTGCAGACAGTACAAAGAGCAGTGGTTGCCCGGGCGTAGGGGAGGGAGGGAGGGATGACGGGGGAGACACACGGGACTTTTACGTGGGGCAGTGAAACTATTCTGTAAGCTTCTGCCCCCCCCCCCCCCCCCATCCAACAGAGACGGAGAGGGGCTGGACATGGAGTGAATCACTGGATGCAGGAATTTTGGACACAGGTCATATCTCTGTCAAGACCTATAGAATGTACAACACGATTGTAACAAATGTATCACACTAATTAATACAAGATGGAAATACTAGGAGAAATCGTATGTGGGAACTCTATACTTTTTCTTTTTTAATTGACTTTAGGGAGGTGGAGGGAGCCCGGCTGGCATGGCTCAGGTCAACCTATGAACCAGGAGGTCACGGTTTGATTCCCCATCAGGGCCTATGCCTGGGTTGCAGGTTTGGTCCCCAGTGGGGGTCATGCAGGAGGCAGCCAATCAATGAATCAATGATTCTCTCTCATCATTAATGTTTCTATCTCTCTCTCCCTTCCTCTCTGAAATCACCAAATATATATATATATGTATATGTATATATATATACATATATATATATATACACACACAATTTTTTTTTTTTAAAGAGAGACGAATGGAGAGAGAAACATCGACTGTTTGCCTACTGCCTGCACCCTAACCGGGAATGGAACCTGCAACCTGGGCATGTGCCCCGACTGTGATCGAACCCACCACCCTTTGGTGCACAGGACGACGCTCCAACCAACAGAGCCACACCGGCCAGGGCAGAAGTCTGTACTTTCTGATCAATTTGTCTATAAACTTAAAACTGCTCTTAAATAATAATGTGTATTAATTTTTTAAAATGTGGATACTATATTGGACTACTGCACAGCTATGAAACAAAGAATGAGGCTGCTCTCTACACGGACATGGAAAAGACCTCCAGATAATGACACCGCAAAGCACAGAGCAGTCTACGGACAGTGCCCAGCGCACTGCTCCGACTTACGACTTGTCGACTTCACAATGCGCAGAAGTGATGCACACCCAGCAGAGACCGGCCAGGCTGCCACGCCGTCTGCAGGGGAGGTGTATCAACTGCATTTCACCTGACGGTATTTTCAACTTACAATGGGCTTATTGGGCGGTAACCCCATCGTAAGCCAAGGAGCATGTGTACGTAGTATATGCTACGTCTAAGAAAGGAAGGAAACTAAGATGTTTTCGCACATGCAGCTTGTGTTTTATAGAAACATTGAAAGGGAACCAAGAAACCAACAACAGTGGGAAGGGGAAGGGGAGTAGGAAGAAGGGGTAGAGGAGACACTTCTCTGTATATATTGCTGATTATATGTGTGTGTGTATACTGAGTGGCCAGATTATTATGACCACCCCATCAGTACAATGAAGTGAATTAGTTATGCAAATAATAATAAAACCTTGAGAGTCTTTGCTTAGGAAGTTTTCAATATTCAGTATTTTTGGAAGTGTCAATGAAGTACTGATGGGGTGGTCATAATAATCTGGCCACTCAGTGTATATGCAGTCTATACATATACCCTTTCTATATCACTTCTGAATTTTAAACTACATGTTACAGCTGTGTCACTGCACACACAAGCAGGGATCATCAGCAAGTAGAAATTCCAAGTGCAGAAATTTGTGTGTCTATTTTCTGGTTTTTAAAAATTATTATTACTATTAAATTTACTGGGGTGACATTGGTTAATAAAATTATATAGGTTTCAGGTGCACAATTATATAATACATCATCTGTACACTGCATTGCATGTTCACCACCCAAAGTCTAATCTCCTTCCATCACCATATATTTGACCTCCTTTACCCATTACTTCCTCCATGTTTTGATAGTCAATCACGTCTCCTGCCAACTGAACATGTGGGTGCCCGATTCATACTCTCCGTCTTGATGTTTTCACCAAATTAATGGGTGAAAAATGGCACCTCATTTTTCAAATTTTACTTTTTTCCTGATAAACTATAATATGGTTGATTAATTTTCTAGGAGTTTTTGGCCACCTGTATTAGACTTTTTAAAAATTGGGTCACCTTTTTCTTATTGACTTGTAAGAGGTTCTTTATAAACATATAATGAATATAAACATTTAGCCCTGCCCTAACTGGTTTGGCTCAGTGGATAGAGCGTCGGCCTGCGGACTCAAGGGTCTCAGGTTTGATTCCGGTCAAGGGCATGTACCTTTGTTGCGGGCACATCCCCAGTGGGGAGTGTGCAGGAGGCAGCTGATTGATGTTTCTCTCTCATCGATGTTTCTAACTCTCTATCCCTCTCCCTCCTCTCTGTAAAAAATCAATAAAATATATTAAAAACAAAACAAAACAAAACATTTAGCCCTGCCTGGTGTGGCTCAGTTGATTGTAGTTTCGTCCCATACACCAGAAGGTGGCAGGTTCAATTCCAGGTCAGGGCACATACCCAGGTTTTGGGTTTGATCCCCCATTGGGGCATGTGCAGGGGCAACCGATCGATGTTCCTCTCTCACATCAATAATTTTCTCTCCCTCCCTTCCTCTCTCTAGGATTAATTTTATTTTATTTTTTTTAAATCCTCACCCAAGGATTTTTTTTTTTAAAGACAGTGGAAGGGAGAGGGAGAGACAGAGAGAAACACCAATGTGAGAGAAACACATCAATTGGTTGCTTCCCACATGCCCAGGGTCGGGAGCCTGCAACGAAGGGAATCGAATCCAGGACCCTTCAGTCCACAGGCTGACGCTCTATCCACTGAGCCAAACCAGTTAGGGCTCTAAGATTAATTTTAAAAATAAAATATAAAGTTGGCTGTGGCTTTGAAGTATTAAAAAAAACATTTAGGATTTAAAAAAAACATAAAAATCAATGGGAGAAATGTCCTCAGATAAGGGATTAACAACAAAATGTCCTCAGATAAGGATTAACAAACAAAAATTTAAATATCTTTTACCATCCTATCCTATATAAATAAAAGGGTAATAGGGCAAATTGACCCCTAACAGCGGAACGACCAGAACGACCGCTCGACCAGTCACTGTGAGGCGCACTCAAAACCGGTTTGGCTCAGTGCCCCGGCCAGCAGGCTCCCATCACCCGATGGCGAACGGGGAACCAGGGGTGGTTGGCTGTACGTTGGTTGCGGGCACATCCCCAGTGGGAGATGTGCAGGAGGCAGCTGATCGATGATTCTCTCTCATCGATGTTTCTAACTCTCTAGCCCTCTCCCTTCCTCTCTGTAAAAAATCAATAAAATATATTTAAAAAAAAATCTGTTATATACACACCTAGTCTTTTTTCTTAGTCTGTCATTTGCCCTTTTTTTGTTGTTGTTAATCTTCATCCGAGGGTATTTCTTCCACTGGTTTTTTAGAAAGAGTGGAAGGGAGGGAGAGAGACAGAGAGAGAAACATCGATGTGAGAGAGACCCATTGATTGGTTGCCTCCTGCACTCCCCCGACTGGGGCCAGGGATCAAGCATGTAACCGAGATACATGCCTTTGACCAGAATCGAACCCGAGACCCCTCAGTCCTCTGGCAGATGCTCTAACCACTGAGCAACAGGCTAGGGTTGTCATTTGCCTTTTAACTTTGTTTACAGTATCTCTTAACATCCAAAAGTTTCAAATTATAATTTTCTCAAATCAGCCAATCTTTTCCTTTATGGATTTAGGGGTTTATGTCTTGCTTTGGAAGACTTTTCATACCCCAAGATTATAAAAAATATTCTCCCATTAGATTCCTTGTAACGCTTTTATTGTAAAAAAAATTTTTTTGTTAATCCTCACCTGAGGATATTTTTTCCATTGATTTTTATTCCCATTGATTTTTATATTTTTAGAGATAGTAGAAGGGAGGGAGGGAAAGGGGCAGAGAGGGAGAGGGAGAGGGAGAGGGAGAAAGAGAAACATGGATCAGTTACCTTCCTTATGTGCCCCAATCGAGGATTGAAACCACAACCCGGGTATGTGCCCTGACCAGGAATGGAACCAGCAGTCTTTTGGTGCATAGGACAACGTTCAACCAACTGAGCCACTCTAGCTGGGCTATTGTACTTTTTTCCCCCCAAAATATATTTTTATTGATTTCAGAGAGGAAGGGAGAGGGAGAAAGAGATAGAAACATCAATGAGAGAGAATCATTGATTGGCTGCCTCCTGCACACCCCTTACTGGGGATCAAGCCCACAACCTGGGCATGTGCCCTTGACTGGAATTGAACCCGGGACGCTTCAGTCCGCAGGCTGATGCTCTATCCACTGAGCCAAACCAACTAGGGCTATTGTACTTTTTAAAAAATCACTTGTCAGGATTTTCATTTTGTTTATGGTGTGAGAGAGGGGTTCTTTTTCCCCCAATTGGAGAACCAATCTATGGTCTTTAGAGAGCCAGACGTGCAATTAATTGTTCAGCTAGATTTTATGTCTAATTCATAAGTGACTAGTACGGTCCTGGGAATTTGATCTACGTTACCTGCCTTTGTGCCTACATCCGTACAAGAAAGACAGTAGGACCCTATTTTACAGATGAAGACATTGAGGCCAGAGGTGGCAGTGCCTGGACCAGGCTCACAGAGAGTTCACGGGAGGAGAGGGGAGGGCTGAGAAGGCTGGGGGAGAGGAAAGACTCGGATAGAGCCTGACCTGGCCGGGAGCCTCGATCTCACCTCCAGGCAAGGACCAGCGTGCAGTCTGCCAGGATGCACATCTTAGCCAGCTCCTTGAGGGCCTGCTGAGGATCTTTCTGGGAAGAGGAGAAAATCAGAATGAGAGATCTGGGAGAAAGCAAGGCATTATAGTCTTGAAAACACAGTGGCTTAGGATGCCAGGATCCTTCCATTCAGTTGACACTCCCTAAGCTCCTACTGGGCGCCTGGCCTGTGCCGGGCAGTTCCAGGACCCAGCAGTGACCGAGACAGCCCTGGTTCTAGCCTCCTGGAGCTCAGTCTGAAGAAGGGACAGACCCATCCTCAGACAGTGAGGACCAGAGTGGCCAGAGCTGAAGGGGCCGGGGGCGGGGAATCCAGAGGAGCCCATGACCTGGGTGAGTTTGGGGAGAGCTTCCGAGAGGAGAAGACATCCGAGCTGGGACCTTACGGAGGATGAAGAGGAGTAAAGGCAGCACAGGAGAGCAGAGAAGGGAACCTTAAACATAGGGAAGAGCATGTGCAAGGATGGGAGGAAAGAGAGGGCTCGAGCAATGGCAATCACTCAATATGGGATGGAGGATGGGAAAGAAAGGTTTTTTAAAAATTGACTTTAGAGAGAGAGAGGGGAAGGGGGAAGGAGGGAGGGGGAGAAACATCCATGTGTTGTTCCACTTATTCATGCATTCACCGGTTGATTCTTGTATGTGTCCTGACCGGGGATCAGACCTGCTACCTTGACGTATTGGAACAACACTCTAACCAAGGGAGCCACCTGCCAGGGCAGAAGAAAGGGTTTTCACACGGGAGCTTAGGCATGAGCCCAGAGAGCTGGGCGAGGGTGGGGACACAGAGAGCGTCCTGGGCCATGGCGAGCACTGGGAAGCCACTTAGGGTATTTTTGGTTGTCAATCCTCACCCAAGGATATTTTTCCCATCGATATTTTAGAGAGAGTGGAAGGGAGGTAGGGAGGGAGAGAGAGAGAAACACTGATGTGAGAGAGAGACATTGATTGGCTGCCTGACTGGGGCCAGGGATCGAACCTTTAGCCCTTGACCAGAAATCAAACCCGAGACCCTTCAGTACGTGGGCCGATGGTCTAACCACTGAGCAGCAATGGCCAGGGCCCATTTAGGGGTTTTAACACCAGACCTGTGCGTTAGGAAGACCCCTCTGGTGGCTATAAGGATGAGAGGGGTCAAGGCTGGAGGCCATGAGACACTTGCATTTCTCCCTGGAAGGGGTTCAACAGTCCCCTTGCTACCAGGAGGCCCAAGGCTCCCGCTGCACAGGCGGGGGCAGTGAGGCTGGAGGGAGGACCCCTGCTTACCACATCCACCTGCACGAGCAGGACCCGCAGGGCGAAGCTCTTCCCCAGGCTCTGCAGCCGCTCGTGGATGTAGTCCGGGTGGAGGTTGTGGTAGCGGAGGCTGGGAAAGGGGGGAGGAAGGATTGAGAGGTCTCGTGGCCCCGAGTTCCGGGGAGCCCTTCCTCACGCTAACACGCAGGGAGCAGGGGCAGCCTGGCCAGGAGCTGAGGCTCGGAGAGGGTAAGCGGCCTCTCCCTTGCAGGAGGGGCACAGAGGGGTTTGCAGCAGCGGCTGCCTGGCTGCCTGGCTCGGGCTCCCTCCAAGGTTGGCCCCAGGGTCTTCACTGAGGAGGGGAGACTGGCTTCAGGCAGAGGAGACCAGTGCCCTGAAGAGCAAGACCGGGACCCGTGCAGCTGGTCTTGGGAAGCTGGGGCCACGCCAGGACTTTGGCTGGTGGGGGTGGGGGGGCTTCTGCACCTGGGAACCAGGGGACATCCATGCCCGGGAGCCGCCAGCTCTCACGCCTGCAGGGAGGCCAGCAACTTCGAAGTTTCACTTCCCCTCTGCCTCTGTCTGGAGAAGGGCTCCGGGTTTAAGGGGGGGGGGGCGGGGGGGCGGGGGGGGGGTGCGGGGAGGTCAGGGAAATCTGGCTCTTGTCAACTTCAGTCCTGGATGTTGGAGTCACTCCGTCTGGGGCATGAGTGACCCGGCCCCCAACCTGCTCAGACACAGGAGTCTGGGCCCACAGCTCTTGTCACTCCGGGCGCCCCAGGCCCGGCCTCTTCCTCCCACCCGAGGCCCAGAGCGCACAGGGCCATGCCTGGCGGCCTCCTGGGGAAGAGCCTAGAAGACCAGCGCACACCCTCCGTGCCCTCCTGCGGTGGGACAGCCCCAGAGCTCACCTGAGGAAGAGGGCACAGGTGCTCTGACCCAGCACGTAGTCAGGAACCACGTCGCCAAATTCCCAGGGCACGTTGCGCACAAACTTCAGTACGGGGTTGCCCCTCTGGGGAGGGAGGAAGAGCAGAAGCCATGAACAGGGATGACCCTGGAGCCACGGCCACCCCAGGGCCCCACCTCTCTCAGCACCTCTCCACCCTTCTCTTGCCCTTAGCCTGGGTCTTGCAACTTCTCTCTCCTCCTCTGCCTGGCCAGTTCGGCTCAGTGGTTAAGCATTGAACCATGAACCAGGAGGCCATGGCTAGATTCCCTGACACCCGTGAGGAAGGGAGAGGGAGAGTGAAGAAGAGAGAGGGAGAGAGAGAGATAGAAACGTCAATGATGGGGGGTAATGTGGGGATACAGACACATATGTAATAACTTAATCAATAAAGAAATTAAAAAAAAAAAAGAAACATCAATGATGAGAGAGAATCATTGACCAGCTGCCTCCTGCATGCCCCACACTGGGGATCCCAGGCATGTGCCCTGACTGGTACTGAACCATGACCTCCTGGTTCATAGGTCGATGCTCAACCACTGAGCCACACTGGCCGGGTAGACTTGCCTCTTCTTGAGCCCAACATGTCCTTGACACTCCAGCTTTGACCTAGGCCCCTCTCCCCGAGCCCCAGGCTTGAACTGAAGGGTCCCTGGGTCTGTCTCTAACTCAGCCTTTTCCCCCAGCCGTGTGGTCGGCAAACTGCGGCTCGCGAGCCACATGCGGCTCTTTGGCCCCTTGAGTGTGGCTCTTCCTAAGCCTTAGGAGCACCCTAATTAAGTTAATAACAATGTACCTACCTATATAGTTTAATTTAGACCAGAGTCTGCTCAGCAGGCTCCTCTCCCGTTCTACCCTGAACTTACCCTGTAGCCTAAAACTGCAATTCTCTGGGGAAGTCAAGCTCTAATCCAGAGGTCCTCAAACTTTTTAAACAGGGGGCCAGTTCACTGTCCCTCAGACATTCCACACATGCGCACTGCGGGCCCGGGACGAGTTGGCTGCTAAGCAGGACAGGCAGCGGTGGCAAAAACACCCGGCGGGCCGGATAAATGTTTCCGGCGGGCCGCATGTGGCCCGCGGGCCGTAGTTTGAGGACCCCTGCTCTAATCCATCCAGTAAGTATTTAATGAGCACCACCCATGTGTCTAAGTGCTGGAGATATAGCAGTGACCCAGACAGACAAAATCCCTGCTCCCGTGCGGGACACAGACATTAAACAAAATGATCTCGGGGATGAACGTGTGATTGCCAAGTGAAGGTGGGATGTGGTTCTAAGAGGGTGGGACCTGCTCTCGTGGTGGGTGTGGGTTATCAGAGCAGCTGGGGCGGGAAGGGCCTGCAGGGGTCCGCCGTCCCGCAGGCCCTGGGCCATCTGACCCGAGGCACTGGGAGCCATGGAAAGGTCTGAGCAAGGGAGGTACTTTAATTTTTGAAGGACATGACCAGAAGCAGGAGGACAATGACAGGTGGGGAGAAGGTGGTGAGACTGGGACATTCGCACATTACTGGTGGGAATGTAAAATGGTGCAACTTTTTAGAAAATAGTCTGGGAGTTCCTGAAAAAGTTAAACATGGAGAGACCATGTGACCCACCAAATCCACTCCGAGATCAATACCCAAGAGAACGGAAAACATTCATCTGCACAAAAGTTCACAGCATTATTATAATAACAAAAAAGTACAAATAACCCAGTGAGCTGTCCACCAATGGAGGAATGGATAAAGCTGTGGCAAATCCACAGAATGGAATACTACTCAGCAACGAAAAGGAATGAATGAACCTTCAACAAGCTCAGTGAAAGAAGCCAGTCCTCAGCTGATGGACGTTTGAGTTCTACCCACTTTTTGGCTATTGTGAATAATGCCGCTATGAACACTGGTGTACAAGATTTTGTGTGGACGCACATCTTCATTATCCTTGGGTATGTACCCAGAAGTGGACTTGCTGGGTCATAGGCTAACTCTATTATTAAACATTTAAGGAACTGCCAGACCATTCTCCAAAGTGGCTGCACCATTGCACATTCCTGCCAGCAGTGCCTGAGGGTTCCAGTGCCTTCGCAGCCTCACAGCACTCGTTATTGTCTGTGCTTTTTAGTCTAGCCCAGTGGTTGGCAAACCGCGGCTCGCGAGCCACATGTGGCTCTTTGGCCCCTTGAGTGTGGCTCTTCCACAAAATACCACGTGCGGGCGCACACGTACAGTGCGAAGTTGACTTAAAACTTTAAGTAAAGCCCTGGTTGGTTTGGCTCACTGGATGGAGTGTCGGCCTGGGGACTGAAGGGTCCCGGGTTCGATTCGGTCAAGGGCATGTACCTTGGTTGCGGGTACGTCCCCGGTGGGGGGTGTGCGGGAGGCAGCTGATCAATGCTTCTCTCTCATCGATGTTTCTAACTCTCTATCCCTCTCCCTTCCTCTCTGTAGAAAATCAATAAATATATATTTAAAAAAAAACAATTTTAAGTAAAGTTTATTAAGTTAATTTTAGGGAACGTTGTGGAGTGAAAGAAGATGTAGTGTCAAGGATTGAGAAAAGTATGTTGAGATGGTTTGGACATATAGAGAGGATGAACGAAAGGAGATAGACGAAACAAGTATCCAAGACGAGTGTGGATGGGAGAGTTGGAAGGGTCGATCTCAGCGAACGTACCTCAATCAGTTTGAGGACGTTTTTAGCAAAGGCCAGCTTAGGAGTACCCTAATGAAGTTAATAACAATGTACCTACCTATAAGTTTAAGTTTAAAAAATTTGGTTCTCAAAAGAAATTTCAATCGTTGTACTGTTGATATTTGGCTCTGTTGACTAATGAGTTTGCCGACCACTGGTCTAGCCATTCTTATGGGTGTGGGTGGAATCGCATTGTGTTTATTTTTTAAAAATATATGTTTATTGATTTCAAAGAGGAAGGGAGAGGGAGAGAGAGAGAGAAACATCAATGATGGAGAGAATCATTGATTAGCTGCCTCCTGCACTCCTGGGCATATGCCCTGACCAAGAATCAAAACCACTGAGCCACGCTGCCGGGCACTCATTGTAGTTCTGATATGCACTTCCCTGATGGCTAATGATATTGAGCATCTTTTCACATCTTTTTTTTTTTCATTGTTGGCAGTTTTACAGATGCTCCCCAATTCCTCCCAGCCCCTGCTCCACCCCATCTTTTCACATTCTGGAGTCCTATTATTTTTTTTAAATTAGGGCATTTGTTTTTTTTTTTAATATATTTTATTGATTTTTCACAGAGAGGAAGGGAGAGGGATATAGAGTTAGAAACATCAATGAGAGAGAAACATCGATCAGCTGCCTCCTGCACACCCCCAACTGGGGATGTGACCGCAACCAAGGTACATGCCCTTGACCGGAATCGAACCTGGGACCTTTCAGTCTGCAGGCTGACGCTCTATCCACTGAGCCAAACCGGTTAGGGCTGGAGTCCTATTATTGTCTTTGTATAAAGAACACCAGCTCCACCAATTGTAGAGACTTTATGCTTCCTTTCTATCAATCTATCCCCTGAGCCTAGAACAGCATCTGGCAACCTCTGAATGCATTTGTGGACTATAAGTGGATGAACCCCCATTTTATTTTATTTATTTATTTTTAAATATATTTTACTGAGTTTACAGAGAGGAAGGGAGAGGGATATAGAGTTAGAAACATCAATGAGAGAGAAACATCCATCAGCTGCCTCCTGCACACCCGCTACTGGGGATCGATCCCGCCACCAAGGTCCATGCCCTTGACCAGAATCCAACCCGGGACCCTTCAGTCCACGGGCCGACACTCTATCCACTGAGCCAAACCAGTGGTTAGGGCGTGAACCCCCATTTTAAAGGCACAGATGGGTTAAGCCACTTGCCCAAGATCACACAACTACTATGTAGCACAGCAGGATTTGAATTCGGGTCTGTGTTCAAGAAATAGTTTTTGAATAAAGGAAAAAATCTGTGGTTAGGAAATCACACACAATCACACCCCCAATAAGAACGTCAGCCTGTTGTGGATGGAATGTGTCTGTCCCACCAAAAGTGAAACCCTAACCCTCAATGCAATGGGATTAGGAGGTGAGGGGAGGTGATTAGGTCATATGGGTGGAGCCCTCATGAAGGGGATTAGTGCCCTTATAAAAGAGACCCCAGAGCTCCCTCACCCCTTCCTTCACCGTGAGGACACAGTGGGAAGACAGCCCTCTATGAACCTCACCAGACACCAATTCTGCACGTGCCTCGATCTTGAACTTCTCAGCCTCCAAAACTGTGAGAAATAATTCCAAAACTTTTGTCTAAGCCACCCAGTCTATGGTATTTTTGTTATAGAAAAATAAAACATGTGGGGCAGCATCAATCTACACACAGTAGTTGAATGAATGGATGGATGAATGAATGAGTGAATGAATGAATGAACTGTGCTGCTGAGAGTACAATGGCCAGAACTTAGACCTCCTTCCACTGCCTACCAGAAAGCCATCCTTATTAATATTTTTCCCACCAAAACTTAAAGTCCCACTTCTCCATCCTCCTCCTCACCTGCCGGGGGCTCACAATGATGCTGTTGGATTTTGCCCCTGGTTTGGGAGCCTGGTTGGGGGTCTCTCCTGCCTGGGGTTCTGGCCCGGTGGGGGGTGCGGCTCCAGCCCCTCCTGCAGGTCCCGAGATAGCATACTCAGCGTAGGTCTGAGGGGCCGCCTGGGCTGAGGTCTCCGTGGTGGGAAGGGTCCGAGTGGACCTGAATAAGGGCTTCGCCTGTGGGGAGAGATGGTGGGACGGATCAAAATCAGAATCTTTCTACTTCTCCCAACTTCTCAGCCTCCACCTTGGTCCCGTCTTGTCTCCCTGGGACCACTGTCATCACCTCCTCACCCGTTCCCTGCCTAACCCTCACCGCCCCCACACTGTCATGTCATGTCCGTCCTCTGCCCATAGCCTGCCTCAGAGTAACAGCCAAAGCTGTCACCATAGCCCACTCCACTTGCTTTCCTTACTCAGCCCCGTTGGCCTCCTTGCTGCCCTCAAACTTGTCAGGCTCTCTCTGACCTCAGAGCCTTTGCACTGGCTGTTCCCTCTCCCCACAGATGTCACGTAGCTCGCTCTATCACGTATTCACGTCTCTGCCAAGATGTCACCTCCTCCAAGAGGCAGTCCTTTGACTGTCCTACCTAAGGCAGCACCTCTCCTCCATCACACCCTATATCCTTAGCCTACTTTCTCTTCCTTTTTTAAAAATGTTTTTATTGATTTCAGAGAGGAAGGGAGAGGGAAAAGGGGGAATAGAAACATCAATGATGACAGAGAATCATTGATCGGCTGCCTCCTGCACGCCCCCTTACTGAGGATCAAGCCCACAACCTGGGCATGTGCCCTGACCTAAACTGAGCTGTGATCTCCTGGTTCATAGGTCGAAGCTCAACCACTGGGCCACATTGGCTGAGCCCACTTTCTTTTCTTCATAACACATTAGCAGCAGCCAGTACTCAGCACCAGCCCACTGCTTTCCTGTGAGGAGATCGCCATGCTGCCAGTCCTTCGGTTTACCAAGAGATGTCAAAAGTGCCAGCTTTTTTAAAAAAAAAAAAGCAAAACCTTCCAATTCTTAAATGTCAGCAAGAAATCCGGGCCTTGCAGGGTGCTGGCCACATACAGCACATCCCGGGGCGACTCGTTTGCTGCCAGTTCGCAGCCTCTGCCTTAGCCCTTAGAGCCACCAGGACGTTTTACAGACAGAGAAACTGAGATGGAAAGAAAAGGGCTGATTTCCCAAGGTGACCCAGGCTCCAGCATTCCCTAACCCTCCCTGTAGCCCCACTGCCCGCCCCCGTCCCCCTCCCTCCACAACCCTCCCAGCCTCCCAGCGGGGGCCCCCCGCCCCCACCCCCGCCCCCGCCCCCGCCCCATCTCTCTGTCCTACCCCAGCAGGAGGGGCCTCATCCCCGTCCAGGAGATGAGGAATTTCTTCCTTGTGGGCGGCTCAGCGGGCGGTCGCACTCCCCCTTCGTCCATCCCACGGCTCTTCTGGGGCCTGTAAATGAAGACAGGGCGGCGGGGCCAGTGAGACATCAGCGTCTGCATTCCCATCCCCCCAGCAGGAACCCCCTACTCACAGCCATCTGTTCCCCACCCGGCCCCGCCAAAACCCCAGGCCTCCATTGTAAACACCCAAAGCCCCAGGTTCTCCAAAGCACAATCCCAGAGGAAGCAAAACCACCTGCGGCTCGCCCGCCCCACGAGGTCCCTACGTCCCATTCGTCCCTCCGTCACCGTACCCCGCCTTTCCAGCGCCCGCTCCGCCGCGGTCCCCACCTTCCGTCCGCCCCGCCCCAGGGATCGCACCTGGATGCCCGCCCCTCCTTCCCTCCTGTCCATCTCGGACACCGCAACTGCTGATTGGCTTCAGCGGCTGCCAATCGCCACCAGCAGCCTCCAGCCCTCTCCCCCTCCACCTGTCTCCCCACTGCCCTTCTCGCCCCAGCCCCCGTGGTCGCGGTGCCGGGAGGACTCACCTCCTGGTCCCCGAGCCGCTGGGAAAAGAGCGGCGCGGCCAGAGCGTCCCCGGGCTCGCTGCACTTCCGGCCTCTCTAGCCGTCGAGCCCAGAGCGCGTCTCGCTCAGCTCTCTATGGTCGTGGAGGACTGTGCAGGTTAGGGCTTGGAGAGAGCAGGCGGTCTCGGGGCCTGAGCGTCTCTGGTTGCCAAGCAGTTCAATTTCAATGCCCTGATGGAGCGCCTCTTGTGTGCTGGGGTTCGCGACAGGGTTCCCTGAGCGGGAGATCACACTAGATCCTTTATCTATGTGAGGCCTTGGGGTTGAGCCCCAGCTCTGCCATGGACCTGGCCTCAGTTTCCCCATCCATTCTTTTATTCCACGCACATTCCCCAAGCGCCTCCTGAGCCGGGCAGCGCTAGTGACACTCCGGTGACTAACGGTAGCCCCGCGCCTGGAGCTCGTAGTGCAGCGGGAAAGACAGACCTGGGCTTCCAAACAGTGAGAGACCCAGAGAGGCAGGGCTGGGGCAGGAGACCCCAGCGGGCCGAGGCAGGGGGTGCGTGGGGGTGCGTGGGGGTGCGTGGCTGGTGTGTGACGAGGAATCTAACCCAGAGTGAGGGTCAGAAAAGGCTTCCTGGAGGAAGGGACATGGAGCAGACCTGGTTGATGAGTTGCGGATTAGTCATTTCCTGAGAGCATAGTACCACGCTGTTCTAACTTGCAGCTCTCTGATTACTAAGGAGAGAGAACATGTTTTCGTGAGTTTATTGGCTTTATGTATTTTGTCTGTTGTGAATTGCTTGCTCATATCCTTTGCCCACTTTTTAAATGGGGTTTTATGCCTTTTTTATTACTATTAATTTGTAGGAGTGCTTTATGGTTTCCGATTCTCTTAGTCAGTTACATAGCTTCCAAATATTTCCTTCTAGTTTGTACTTTGCATTTTAATTTTTGTCACTCATAAGTTCTTAGTGTTTATTCATGGCTGTTTACCAATCTATTCCATCCTGACTGTTGCTTTTGGTGTATTGTTTGAGGCCTGCCATACGCCAAGGTCATAAATGTATTCTATCATTTCTTTTAAGATTTTCCCTAGTTTTGCTTTTGTCTTTAAACTATATGAGACTTATTAGAAAATGCATTAAAGCAGAATTTATAATGGATGTAACCAATGGTCCTAATACCATTTATTTTAAAAGGCAACCCTGCCCTGGCCAGTTTGGCTCAGTGGATAGATCGTCGGCCTGTAGACTGAAGGGTCCCAGGTTTGATTCTGGTCAAGGGCACATGCCCGGGTTGCAGGCTCAATCCCCGGTGTGGGGCATGTGGGAGGCAGCTGATCAATGATAATCATTAATGTTTCTATCTTTCTCTCCTTCTCCCTTCCTCTCTGAAATAAATTAAAATATATGTATAAAAGTCAATCCTTGCCCCAGTTTTAATATTCCATCTTTATCATGTACCAAGTTTCCATATATATTTACACAGGTATATTTCTATTATGTTTCATTGATCTCCATATCTGTTTCTTGCCTCCATGCCATACCGTTTAATAATTATAGTTTGATATGATTTGCTGTTTTTATAAGGCAAGTTCCCCCTCTATTCAATTTCAAATTTGTCTTTACCATTCTTTTTGGGGTTTTTTAATTGATTTCAGAGAGGAAGGGAGAGATAGAAACATCAATGATGAGAGAGAATCATTGATTGGCTGCCTTCTGCCCCCCCCCCCCCCTTACTGGGGACTGAGCCTGCAACCTGGGCATATGCCCCTGACCGGAATCAAACCCGGGACTCTTCAGTCCACAGGCCGACGCTCTATCCACTGAGCCAAACAGGCTAGGGCTGTCTTTACCATTCTTGTACATTTTCTCTTCTGGCTGGATTTTAGCAGCTGCTTTTCTAGTTCCATGAAAAATCCTATCCGGGTTGAGATTGGAATTGCATTGAATTGATGGCTTAATTATAAGATAATTGACATCTTTTTCATACCCATGGACATGTCTCTATCCACGGATTTCAGCTTTTGTTAGGAGCCTATTGTAAAAGGTTTTTCCTAATTAATTTTTATTTATACAACTGATTCATGAATACATTTTTGTATTAGTTTCCTAGGACAGGACTGCTGTAGCAAGGTACCAAACACTGGGGGCTTACACAGCAGAAATGGATTGTCTCCCAGCTCTGGAGGCTAGAAGTGCACAGTCAAGGTTTTGGCGGGGCCAGGCCTCTCTCCCAGCTTCTGGTAGCCTTCAGTGTTTCTTGGCTTGTAGATGGCTGTCTCTTTCCTGTGTCTCTTCGCTTTGTCTTCCCTCTGTGTGTCTGTGTCCAAATTTCCGTTTAATAAGGGTATCAGTCATATGGGATTAGAGCCCACCCTAGTGACCACAATGTAACTTCATTACAATATATATTTTTGAGGGGACACGATTCAACCCATAACAATGCTGTTACTTTTTATTCATGCCAGGGCACATGCTCTTCTATTCATTCACAGACCGTTATGGAGAGTACCTCATCTGAAAATATCTTTATTTCACCCTCACCATTGGAATCTCAAATTCTGGATTCCTGGCCGTTTTCCTTGCAAAACTAGAAGGTGCTGGTCCTCCATCTCCCTGACTTCTCGGTTGCTGAGGAGAAGCCTACCATCCCCCGATTCTCCTTCCTTCATAAGCAGTGTCACCACTGGTGTCATTTTCCGCAGGTCACTTACCAGCAGGGTGACCTTGCGCCAGCAACTCAGCTCCTGTGTGTGTGTGTCAGTTTGCTCATCTCTAAAATGGGGTTTATTGCCCTGGCCGGTTTGGCTCAGTGGATAGAGCGTCGGCCTGCGGACTGAAGGGTCCCAGGTTCGATTCCAGCCAAGGGCACATGCCTGGGTTGCAGGCTCCATCCCCAGTAGGGGGCGTGCAGGGGGCAGCCAATCAATGATTCTCATCATTGATGTTTCTATCTCTCTCTCTCTCCCCCTTCCTCTCTGAAATGAATGAACATATATTTTAAATGGGGATAATAATAGTATAATTATTAGGAGGATGGAATGAGTTGCGTGTAAAGCAGCTAAAATAGTAGTTGGCATCGTGCTGTATTCAGGTTTGTCATATGAATAAAACAGCCTTGACCAAGTCCTGGGCAGGCAGGAGCTATTTTAGCTGTATCACAGGGCCTGGCACCCAGACGCTATCAACCTGGATGTTGTGTGAAGAAATAAAAGGTAGAAGCCAAACCCTAGCTGGTTTGGCTCAGTGGCTAGAGCGTAGGCCTGCAGACTGAAGGGTCCTGGGTTTGATTCCAGTCAAGGGCACATGCTCGAGTTGTGGGCTTGATTCCCAGTAGGGAGTATACAGGAGGCAGCCGATCACTGATCCTCTCTCATCATTGATGTTTCTACCTCTCCCTCTCCCTTCCTCTCTGAAATCAATAAAAAATAAAATAAAATAAAAAGATAGAAGGCAAGCCCTAAGACAAGTGACTTCACTGCTGGGAGCCTCAGTTTCCGTATCTGTAATTGCTAAGGTGGTGAGGATTCAGTAAGACCACGGGGCCTGTCCTGAGATGGACTGGCTCACGGTTCACTCATTCCTTGAATGATTATGGATCGGGCACCTACTATGTGCCAGGCACTTGGTGAGCAAATCAGACCAGGTCCCTGCCCCGTGGCGCTGGGGTCATAAACCAGGAGAAGGAAACATACAAATAGGTTTCGGGCAGCCATACATGCCCTGAGAAAATAAATCGCAGCGCTGTGAGGCAGGTGGCCAGGGAGGGGCCACACCGCCACGGGAAGGAAGGCTCTATAAGGAATAAATATTGCCGCCAACTAGATTGCCATCAAAACACAGGAGTCCCGCCCTCACCGGTTTGGCTCAGTGGATAGAGCATCGGTCTGGTCCCAGGTTCGATTCCAGTCAAGGGCATGTACCTTGGTTGCAGGCTCCTCCCCAGCCCAGGCCCTGGTTGGGGTTCCTGCAAGGGATAACCAATCGATGTGTTTCTCTCACATCGATGTTTCTCTCTGCCTTTCCCTCTCTCTTGCACTCGCCCTAAAAATCAACGGAGAAATATCCTTGGGTGAGAATTAACAAAAACAAAACAAAACAAAAACACAGTAGTCCCTCCCCCCTCCCCCCTTTTATCTGCGGGTTTTGCTTTCTACAATTTCAGTTACCTTCGTTCCACTTTGGTCCAAAACATTAAATGGAAAATTCCGGAAATGAACAATTGATAAGCTTTAAATTGCACCGCGTTCTGAGTAGCGTGATGAAACCCTGCACTGCCCTGCTCCCGCCCCGCCCGCACAGGAATCACTCCTTTGTCCATTGTGTCCGTGTGGTGAGTGCTCCCCCTCGTCGCGGGCTCCGTCACCAGATCGACAGTGAGTCATCACAGTGCTTGTGTTCCAGTCACCCAGATTTTACTTACCAATGGCCCCCAAGTGCAAGAACAGTGATGCTGGCAATCAGATATGTCAAAGCGAAGCCGTAAAGTGCTCCCTTTAAGGGAAAAGGTGAGGACAGCGCAACAAAAACTACC